ATTTTTTTCAGTTGATTATACGTTATTATACGTTATATTGATTTCCTTGCAATCCTTTAACAGGAATTTACAGCATATTTTCCAACACCACAATTTGCCAGCAACTACTAATAGAGAAATTTGATTCTTCCAGGCTTCTGCAGAACAGGTAGAGATAAGAGAAAGACAACTCTCTCGTCTAGACTCAGCACCAGTCATTTTCCACAGTCTGACCTCTGAGGCCTCCGACTCATTATTGGGATGGCCAGGTATCATGTCCTTCACAGCAGCACTGGGCCGAGACCAATCAGCCCCTCTGCACGGAGGATTATAGGACTGGAATAGAAGCTTTGCTGCTGGACTGACTCTGCCTAAATTCTATCACAGAAACAGAGTAAGTGAGCACACAGTTTGCTTAAATCCTGTCTGTTTATTGTTTAATAAATGCTCTTAATTTTGTGCAAACTGAAGTTGCATGTAAATAGAAACAGAATGACGGATGAATGAATTTACAATATATTTTGTAATCTCCTGTGGTAATGTGCAATAAAGCCAGGTGTTCACAGTGTTGTTCTTTAGAGACAAAGCGTGAACAGGTTTGCAGAATGTATAATAATTATGATTAGTAGTATTAGTATAACTTAGTATTAAAAACACCAGTTGAGAATCACTGATAGCCGACATGTGGGGCTGAACTTACTTAATAGCTTCGCACATGTCAAGACCCATCTTCACACAGTTTTTAGCATGATTTGGCAAGGACTCTGGGAGGCCAGATACACAGTAATAACAGTCCCCTAAAATTTTTATTCGCATACATTCATTTTCCTGAAACACACAGAAACAATCAAGGATGTCAACAGCCAGAAAACTTTTTGATAAGAGTGAAATTATCTGCAACATTTGGTTTGAGTTTTACAAAGTAATATATTTTCCAGACCAGAAGGAAATGGTAGCTTTATATCAATAAAGTACATTTCAGTCACTGGACTCTGAGATTCAGCTTACCTTGGCAATCTGATCAAATTTGCCAAATAGCTCATTCAACATATGGACCAACTCTCCA